AATCTGACGTGACATGTTCGTACGAACCCTTTGTACGAACAAAAGTAAGAGAAATTTAGGATAAGAATACGAACATGTTCTTGCATGAGGCCCAATGATTCCCGGACCAAACCATATTTCCTTCAATTTTACAAGTCACGACCAAATCCAGCAGATTACAACAAGCTTTAGGGTCCAGTTCTCAGGACTTGTTCAGCTCACCACTGGGAGGTGAAGAGTCCGTAGAAGAGCGTGCTGCTGGGGTCTCCAGGAGAGTGCTGAGTAGTGAAGACGTCTATCAGGACGTTGTAGCGCTGACTGCTGGGTCTGTCCTCGCACACCAGCTGGGCTTTGAGAAACGTGGTCCAACGTCGCTGCAGGGTCTTCATCCCTCCCACGTCAGACTAAACGTCAGGTCAACATGAGTTCAGTCCCATTCACGGTGCATCGCACGGACTTCTTGAATCAAATCCACCTTTCATGGCGGCGGGATGAGAAAGGAGAGCTTACCTTGCAGACCCGAGCCACTCTTGGCACTTTGACTTTGGTGTACATGTCGTACTCTTTGGCCGTCTCCGTGAAGAAAAAGTAGATCTTGTCGTCGTCTCCTGCTGGGTTGCTGTCAGCCGGTTGCTTTATGAAGGCAGAGCTGACAAACTTTGGGTCTAAATCAACACAAACAGAAACAAAACCTTATTTAGGGTGATGGGAAGGTGTGTTTGTGTGAAAAATGGGAATTTACAGATGCGAGTCTCACCACTGAGCCAGTTGATGGATTGCTCAGTTCTGATCCGTTCCTGCTCCGGTCCCATTGCCCTGGAGATGTCGAACAGCGTTCCTAGGAAGTTACTGGTGGCTGCTGTGTACAGAACACCATCTAGACAAAAAATAAAATAAAAAAATGAGAAAGCATTTTTTACATTCTGGAAATGTTTGTGACAGATCTGAGAAGGTTTTTAAAATGCAGAGGAACCTACCTGCCATAACTGCTGTGTAATGTTGACTGGGCTCAAAGGGGCACTTTGTCTTCCCCGTCTCCATCTTCACCTTTCCATCCTCGTTTTTCTCCAGTGTGAACGAGGTGGGTTCCTGCAGGACCGGAGAGAAAAAAAATAGGCAGAGCTCAAAACCAGCCTGTTCACACTTTCCACCTTATTTTCAAACGTAAAAGTAAATATAGGTCGGACTTTTTATCCCTGAGTTAACTAATAACAGCTTAACTAAACTGGTGAACTATATCGTGGGAACATTACCAAAAATTAGTGAACAATCGAAGTGGCAAGACCCTCAAACTATTCTGCAGAGGGAGGGCAATATGAAAAAAAAAATGACATTTTTGTTTCCGTACATTGTTTTGGTATGTATCTCATTTTACAATTTTTGTGTTTTTTCAATAATTTCTGTATGAAAACATTTAGCTCCCTCAGAATATTCCGGCTGTGACTTTTGGTATTTCAGCAATTTATACTTTTTGCGATATTTAGCTTTTTTGCCATTTTTTCTTTCTCATTGAAAGTAAATGGAGCTGTCTTCAGCCACCTTAAAACCCTTCAAACTAATCATAAATTATTACTCTTCTTTATATTTTTTGTTCTGGTTATGTTTTTTATCTCCTGTGTAATAATGTCAGCTTTTTTCAGCTTTTATTTAGCTAATTTTAGTCTTTTTTTCCTGCCTTTTTTAGCTGACATTCTGATCATTTTGACTAATTTAAACATATTTGTGCTTTTTTCTGCTATCTAAAGCTTTTATAACTATTATAGCATCCTAATTTTAGCTTTTATTCAGCAACTTCTTAGCTAGTCAGCTAAAATCATCTTTTTGTGATCATTTCATCTTCTTACTGCTTCATTAAGGAAATGTGTTTTTTCTGTTTTAATGTGCTTTTTTAGGCTAAATTCAGCTTTTTAAGATATATAAGAAATCTCTCACCATTAAGCATTCACGCTAAATTTTTACAGGAAATGCAGATTCTCTAGTTAATTACTGTGTTGTCATTTGACATGGATGGGTACAGAGGTGTATCAGTACTTCCACAGTGGAAAAGTTGGCCAAATATTAATCAATAACAGTATTGATGAGCAAGTATTCATGAAGGCTGACGTCCAACCAAAAGCAAGCCTGACATTCACTCTGCATGGATCCTTGTTAGATCAACCGGCACCAATGAGACGGCCGGGTGCTCCTGGTCAGACAAGTCCTGCAGTCCCGCAGCAGCGATTTTATGGAAGGTGAGCTAATAAATTGTCTGTTCAGGTCATAATTTACTAAGTGTTGCCTCGTTCTGAATGGGGGAAGAACGGAACGGGAGATCGACAGGCGGATTGGCGCAGCGTCTGCTGTAAAGCGGGCGCTGTACCGGTCCGTTGTGGTGAAGAGAGAGCTGAGTCAGAAAGCGAAGCTCTCGATTTACCGGTCGATCTACGTTCCTACCCTCATCTATGGTCATGAGCTTTGGGTCATGACCGAAAGAACGAGGTCCCGGATACAAGCAGCAGAAATGGGTTTCCTCCGCAGGGTGGCTGGGCTCTCCCTTAGAGACAGGGTGAGAAGCTCGGTCATCCCGGAGGGACTCAGAGTAGAGCCGCTGCTCCTCCACGTCGAAAGGAGCCAGTTGAGGTGGCTCGGGCATCTGGTAAGGATGCCTCCTGGACGCCTCCCTGGTGAGGTATTCCGGGCACGTCCCACCGGGAGGAGGCCCCGAGGAAGACCCAGGACACGCTGGAGGGACTATGTCTCTCGGCTGGCCTGGGAACGCCTTGGAGTTCCCCCGGAGGAGCTGGAAGAAGTGGCTGGGGAGAGGGAGGTCTGGGCCTCCCTTCTGAAGCTGCTGCCCCCGCGACCTGACCCCGGATAGGTGGAAGAAAATGGATGGATGGATGGATGGATGCCTCGTTCTGATTAAACTGCTGCCTATTTAGGTTTATCCACTATAGAAAGTATTGCTAAATATTTGGGACTGAACTAAAATAACAGATATTGTTAAGTTGAAATAAGTCTTTAAAATAACATTTACATTTTGGGGAGTTTATGGTTGTCGCTATAATCTGTCCATATTTCCAAGGATTTTAAAACAGGAGCTTTCTATTAAAGTAGGACAGAACTGACTACTGTTAATTGTTTTGGAAAAAATAATAGAGTATTCAGCCGTAAGGTAAGAACTGCTCGCTTGGAGTCTGATTCCTTTTTCAAATTTACACTCAAGAGTTGAGTCGGTCAGAATGAACATTCTCCCACGCTTCCTATATCGATTTCAGTGTCTACCTATTTTGATCCCTGATAGGCGCTTCGTAGAGTCGGAAAGAATAATATCGCAATATATCTGGCAGGGGGGAAAGGCAAGAGTGAGACATAGTACGCTGCAGTTAAAGAAAGAGAAAGGTGGACTAGGGCTTCCTAATCTACAGGTCTACTACCTTGCAACTCAGTTAAGACCAGTGTTCTGTCTTTGCTCTCCATCTTACAGTGCTAAATGGAAAGATATGGAAAAAGCAACAGTGGAAGGAATACCTTTAATCTCAGTACTAATGGACAAGGACTTACAAGAGAGGCTGAGTATACCACATGGGTCAATATTACACGTCATGCTGGATTCTTGGAATAAGGTCGTTAAAATGTGTAAATTGGGTAACCAGATAAGAATACTCAGATGGTGTGCCTTTGACTCAGCTTTTAACCCAAACAAGACTGATGGAAGATATAGAGGATGGACCCAAAAAGGATTAACCACTTACTATAATTTACATTTACTTTATACCTTTACACGGAAGGGTGTGTTTCAAAGTTTTGAGGAACTTCAGAGGTCCAAAGGGTTGGAGAAGAACGACTTCTTTACATATCTGCAGGTTAGGTCCTACTTCAATCAAAATATATGCGATAATTGGGATACAGCCAAACCAGGACTTCTTAAAGTGTTTCTGTCCCTGTTGAAATCAGGTTCATGCAAAAAACTTGTTTCCAAATTGTATAATGGCATTCTGTTGTCTAAGGGGGTCTGGTGGCGCTGGTGCATGGCAGCCCCACCTCTGTCAGTGCGCCCCAGGGCAGCTGTGGCTACAGTGTAGTTTGCCATCATCAGTGTGTGAATGTGAGTGTGAATGGGTGAATGTCTGTTAGTGTAAAGCGCTTTGGGGTCCGGAGGGTCTTGAAAAGCGCTCTATAAGTTCAGTACCATTTACCATTCTCCTGTTTCCCGGCCCCAATGTCTATGTAAAAAGTAAGGCTTAAAGATGAATTCAACACATACAGTGGGGGGAAAAGTATTTAGTCAGCCACCAGTTGTGCAAGTTTTCCCAGTTAAAATAATGAGAGGGGCCTATAATTGCCATCATAGTTAGACCTCAACTATGAGAGACAAAATGAGAAAACATAACTAGAAAATCGCATTGTATGATTTGTTTAAGAA